CACACACACACACACACACAGAGTAAAGTTTTGTGGGTTTACCTTAAGTTTGAACATGTCAAAAGTCGCTTCTGTTTCCAAGATGAATGCCAGGGGCCTTGGGTCGCAGCTGAAGGACGGTATTCCAGTTGAGCTCTCCGTGAGTGAGCCTTTCGAGAGTCACGATCTTCTCCAGGAAGAATGTTCTTGTGTGAAAAATGAACTTTTGCCCGGTCACCCTCTTGAATTATCAGAAGAAGAAAAAAATTCGGTTCAAACAGAACAAGATGAACTTTCCCATACCGAGGAACATCCAGGGTCTGTTTGCGCCCCTGAAGTTACAGATGGGGTTCAAGGGAGTGCGGCAGGTTCAGCGTCTTTCATTTCTTCTGAGCTGGATATTTTGAGGGAAAGTGATAAGATCATTGGTTTTGAGGAGATTTTTTTAAATTAATTTTTTATTGGATATTTTTTGAGGAGATTCTTAATGAGCCATCACAGAGTGATGGGTGAACCACACGTGATGGCTGAATATAAAATGGGCTTGCTGTAATACGGGGTGTTGTGCAGGAATGACAAAAGTAATTTTTGTAGTTGCCTCTGCTATGCAGCTCTGATGTACACAACATTGAAGTACTGAGAAGGAAAATACAGTTGCTTCTTACTGTACTCCTCCCTGTTTTCTTGGTGTAATAGGGTACATTTTACTGGAGGTGTAGTCTCTTAATCCAACGGGTGAAATGTATTTCATTTTATTTCATTTTATTTTATTTTATTTTATTTCGGGTGAAATATTTAATTCCAGGAATTTCATATACTATAGTGAGCCAATGATGTAGATATTTTGTTTGATTCTTATTACACCCCCAAGCTCCCTTCCCCCACTCCTGCTGGGGATCAGACTCTGGGTCTTGCACACATACTAGAGAAGCGCTCAATACCAGTCACCTATACACCCAGCCCTTAACTATACAGTTTTAAAGAACAAAGCACCCTTGTAAGAGTTTCAAACTACACCCTATAGTTTCTAATATTGGTATACTGTTTGTTTACCTCTCTCTCCCTCTCTCTTCTCTCTCTCTCTCTCTCTCTCTCTCTCTACCTACCTATCTATTTATCTATTTGATAAATACTTATTTATTTCTGAGCATGGTCTTATACAGTCTGGGTCTGTTTGCTTATTCTGTTTTCAGGTTCTCATTCAGCCCAGGCTGGCCTTAAACTCATTATGTAGCCAAGGATGACCCTGAATTCCTGATCCTCCTGCTTCCATCCCTAAAGTGTTAGGGTAACAGATGTGTGCAACACTCCCAGTTTCCTTGTTTGTTGTTCTGGGACAGGGTCTTGCTATGTAACTTAAGGTGGCCTGGGACTCTGTGTGTAGACAGGTAGCTTGAAAGCATACTTTCTATATCCACTTGCAGAGATCTGGAATTAGAGGCTTAGGGTACCATGCTGAGTTACACTGGTGATGTTTAGTGAAGTTTTGTGCATGGCAAATTGTCTCCTTTTGTTGCTGTCACAAAATTATGTTTTGGGGCAGGTGAGATGGCTCAGTAAGTAAGTAAAGGATGCCCTGAATTCAGTTCTCAGGTCGTGCATGGTGGAAGGGAGAACTGAGTCCTGCAGGTTTTCCTCTGATCTACACACACAGAGACACACAGACACACAGACACACACACCATGGCATGAACACACTCAAACACATATCCAAATAATGAAATGAAGTTAAGAACATTTTTTTTTTTTTTGCATTTGTGCTTTCTTAGGGGGCTCCTCACAGCGATGCTGGACTCACTAAGCCCTGAGGTCATGTGAAAAGAAGTTTGCCTTGGGCCCATCTGTCTCCTGTTGGCTGGCCACAAGATGGAGAAGGCGGAAGCAACCTGAGGAGTCCTCTTTGTCTGTAAGGATAGAGGGTCCATTGTGGAAGGGAGAGATACTGGAATTGTATAGGCGAGGCCCTACCAGCCCCGCATCTCTTATCTCCAGAATTCTTTTACAGAATAGAAAAAATAAACGTTTATCTGGCTTAAGCCACTACTGTTTCTGGGCTCTGTTACTAGCTGCCAAATGCAAACCTTAACTGATAGAAAAGTCCTTGAGGGAGTTTGAGCTGGTGGACAGATGCTGACCATTTGGTGGCTCTGCAGAGGTGGATCTGTGGGAGTAGAGCATCCTGGAGTGTACCAGGTGATAAAGATGGCTTGGCAGATGGGGGCAGACAGTGAGAATACACCTCATGAGGTGTCGCAGACTTTCTTTTCCCCCAGGACACCTCTGCTGAAGTACTGTTATACAGTGGCTATTTAAACATCTATTGATGGAGTAATTTGAAGTCTGCTCCTGTCAGCTGGCCTCAGAGCTGGGTCATTGAGAAGATGGGTGCTCTTTGTGCCTAAAAAAAGGCAGCAGGTGAAGAATGGAGCGGGAAAGGGGTATCAACGTTACAGGAAAGTCAAGTGAACTCCCTGCAAGCGGCTCTAAGGAAAGGACTTTTTGTTACAGGTGATTGTGTAATGAAAATACATTGAAGTCTAATGAAGATATCCTTTACTGGGTAGCAACTGTAAATAACATCCCAAACATACATCCTTCTGTAACTTATAACATAAATTCATATACAACATATTTCTAATTTATTGTTTTTGTAATAAATTCATCATTGTAAGGTTAGGCAAGACTTTCACGTTTTACATTAGAAGACATTTACTGTTTACACGGATAATAAAAATATGATGAGGTTCTGGTTCTAGCTCATTCTGCTATCCTAGCACTTGGGAGGCTGAGGCAGAAGGTCAGGTAACTGTGGGTGACATAGTGAGTTCCAGGGACCATGGGGCTATAGTGTTAGACCCTCCTCCCCCCAAATATACAAAAGTTGAGTCCCACAGCACAAGTACTAAAGCAACACAGAGAGTAGCTTGGCCTTGTGTAAGGAAGGATGTTGCCATCTTTTTTTTCTCTACTGTATCCTAACCAGTAAGAAACTGTATGTCCAGAGCCAGGGAGATGGTTCATGAGGCAAAACTGCTTGCCACAAGCCTGACAGCCTGGACTTGATCCCCGGAACTGAGTCCTGAGGACTGTTCTCTGCCTTCCTCACGTGGATCTTGGCACCCACATGTCTGTCCTCATTCACACGTCATGTCACACACACACACACACACACACACACACACACACACACAAATAAAATAATAATAAATTCAATTTAATTTAAAAATAAATCTTAATTCCAGAGCACAGATCTCTCGTGAACTAAATGTGCTGACTTACTATTCATTTTTTTTTTCTTTCTTAAAACTGAGTTGGGGCCTGGAGAGATGATGGCTCAGCAGTTAGAGCACTGGCTGCTCTTCCAGAAGACCCAGGTTCTATTCCTAGCACATACATAGCAGGTCATAGCCATCTATAACTTCAGTTCTAATTCTGGCCTCCCTGGGCACCAGACATGAACATGGTACACAGATATGCATGCAGAAAAAAAAACACTAATATGCATAAAATAAATAAATGAGTCATTTAAAAATATAAATTGGGCCGGGCGGTGGTGGCGCACGCCTTTAATCCCAGCACTCGGGAGGCAGAGGCAGGCAGATTTCTGAGTTCGAGGCCAGCCTGGTCTACAGAGTGAGTTCCAGGACAGCCAGGGCTACACAGAGAAACCCTGTCTGGAAAAACAAAAAACAAAATAAAATAAAGTAAAATAAAATTATATATATATATTGGGACTCAAAAGTTCTTTTCAAACTTGGCATGGGTAAGTAACCAGAAGCCTCTCAATACACCTACAAATTCCAAGTCCATTAAAGCCGTGGCCTTCAGTCTTTCTCTCCACAAAGGGGAGGACAGATATTACCTAAAATATCTTTTTAATTAATTATGTCTCCTCATCCTTTGCCTTGATTTTATCAAAATGATGTGCAAGAACTCAAATACTACTGATTATTCAGTTACAAACTTCTACACTTCTGCCAAAGGATTTTTTTTGGGTAATTTTAATTCTTTCTTTCTTCGTGTGTGTGTGTATGTGTGTGTGTGTGTGTGTGTATGTGTGTGTTGCTTGGTTTTGTTTCCCTCTTTCTTTCTTTCTTTTCTTTGTTTTTAAAATGCAGTCTTGCTATGTAGTGCCAGTTAGCCTGCTACTTACTATGCAGCCCATAACTCTTGGCGATCCTCCTGCATCAGCAAGTTTCACCGGCTTGTGTCATCATGCCCAGCTTCAATTATTAGGGTTTGACTGGTACTTCCCTGGAGTTCCTGGGCTGCATTTCGTAAGATCTGCACAGGGGAGAAAGCAGTTGAAGCCTGTAATCTGCTGCACAGACATCGCTTTCTTCAGTTAAACGATAGCAATAGCTGCTATTCGTGGGGCGCCGTGTGCAGGCAGCCGAGAGGCTGGTTCGTATTCTAACCCTGATGAAGACTCTGGGAAGCAGCCATATTGATGAGGAAACATTTTCGAATCTGTGGCTCAAGGGCACAGAGAACAGCTGAGCCAGGGCAACTTAAGGTCTTGCTGACTCCTGTGTGGCTCAGAGGGTGACCTGTCATTCTTCCAAATAATCTGGAGGAGAACAAGGCCAACTGTCTCCATGTGACACTCGATCCCACATTTATCCTTTCACGCTGCCAAACTGAAAGACCTTATGGTGATTAAATATTTCTGGCCAGCAGTGCCCTGCCATTTTATTGAAAAATGATAGCCTCATATCTTCCATAATTTCTTTTTTGCTGTTGAGACAAGGTCTCATGCAGTCCAGTCCGGCCTTGAATTCACTGTGTAGCCAAAGATGACCTTTAGTTTCTGATCCCCCTGCCTCCACCTTCTAAGTGCCAAAACTAAAGGTGTGCCCGGATTATCATACCATGGCTGTGCACAGGCTAGGTGAGCGCTCTAACTGAACCACATCTGTAGCTCTGTAACTGTTTCCATAGAAACGAATGTTCTGTACCAGCATTAGCTGCCTAGAGACGGGGCTATGGTGGGCAAGCTGCCCCAAGTCACCATAGTTCATTGAGAATGCATTGCAGAGGGTCCACCCTTTATACTGGACGGACAAGGCTCTGAATGCCAAACAGTAATAAATCAAATGGCAAACCACACACACACATACACACACACACACACACACACACGCTACCCCCAACAAACAAAAACAAAATTAAATAAAATAAAAAATAGGACAAGTGAGATAGGTCAGTTGGTAAAAGTGCTTGCTACTAAAGCCAACAACCTGAGATCAGAACCCCTATTGGAGAAGGCAAGAATCCATTTCTTTTCTTTTCTTTTTCTTTTTTTTTCTTTTTTTTCGAGACAGGATTTCTCTGTGTAGCCCTGGCTGTCCTGGAACTCACTCTGTAGATCAGTCTGGCCTCGAACTCAGAAATCCGCCTGCCTCTGCCTCCCAAGTGCTGGGATTAAAGGCGTGCACCACCACTGCCCGGCTGAACCTTTATCTTATTTATGTGAATGTATCTCTGTGTGTCTGCCGCATATATTTGGATGCTCACGTGGGTCAGAGAAGGCATCAGAGCCCCTGAAGCTGGAGTTATAGGCAATTCTGAGCAGCAGTATCATTGTTGAAAACTGAACCTGGGTCCTCTAGAAGAGCAACCCCTGCTTGTTTATGTTTTGACATTACTTATTTATTCGGTTTTTTTTTTTCAAGACAGTTTCTCTGTGTAGCCCTGGCTGTCCTGGAACTCACTCTGTAAACAAGGCTAGCCTCGAACTCAGAGCTCTACTTGCATCTGCCTCCCAAGTGCTGGGATTAAAGGTGTGCACCACCATCACTCAGCTGATTTCATTTGTTTATGTATTTATTTATTTTTCTATTGTTTTTATCATTTTATGTGAATGGATACTTTGCCTACATGTTATATCTGTTCACTACTTGCATGAAGTGCCTGAGGAGGCCAGAAGAAGGCATCAAATCCTCTGGAACTGGAGTTAGAGATGGTTGTGAGCTGCCATATGGATGCTGGGTATTGAATCTGGGTCCTCTGGAAAAGCAACCGATGCTCTTAACTGCTGAATTATCTCTCCAGCCCTTGCTTTGATTAAAACAAAAGTGTGTGTGTGTGTGTGTGTGTGTGTGTGTGTGTGTGCACATGCTCGCATGTATGTGTATGTATGTGTGTATGTGCATATGTATATGTATGTATATGTGTGTACATGTGTGAGAGAGTGTGTGTGTATGGTATGTGTATGTGCATATATGTATGTGTGTATTTGTGCATGTGTATGCACGTGTGTGTTTGAGTGTGTGTGTGTGTGTGTGAGAGAGAGAGATCCAGTACAGAGGTCTGAGGACAGTTCTGGGAGCTGGTTCTTTATTTCCACCATATGGAAGGAATCCAGGTCATCAGGCTTGGTGACAAGCTGCCCAGCCATATCTCCAGCCCCTTCTTAGATCTTTTTTTTTTTTTTTAAGGTAGATTCTTGCTATGTAGCCCACATTGGTCTGTCTCACAGTGATCCTTAATTTCTGCTCTCTGACTGAATTGTTAACAGTCATACCCATCAATCAAGTCTTTATAATGACCAGTAGTGTGGAACTTTGGAGTCAATGACACTCCTAGGTCCCTGCAGAGTTCCATAATAAATATGATGTGGTAGACGGATGGATGGCTTTCAGAGATACCTGTAGAATCTGTGGACAGGTTATGATTAAGTAGTAAAGGGGTCTTTGTAGATGAGACAGATGTTGGACCCTTGACTGAGAGGACACTGAAGATTATCCCAGGGCCTTTAAACAAATGAATCCTGAAAATCCAAGAGCAGCAAAACATGTTAGCATAGACTCATGAAGAAGTTGAGTCAGAAGGATCAAAAGTTCAACAGCAGTCTGGACCCTGTCACACAACACAATACAACACAACACAACACAACAACATATCATGATGAGAAAAATCACAAAACCCCACTCAGAGAAACTTTCTGTTTTTCAGAGGAAGCGATGGCTGAGGAAGAATGGTCCATTCTTCTTTTAGTTCCTTTGGCTCCGTAGTATTTATGGTTAAATGATGA